CTCCCCCTCCCCCTTTGCCCCACACCCCAAAAACGATGTGAGCGCTACTAAATATTTCCCACTATGTTTGTTGTTATTTAATTTCGGTTCGTTTTTTATAGTTCCTTCTTTACCAACATCCGTATAAATACAAGTTTAAAGGCAGTGTCCCAAGATTGGATATTTGCCAAAATTTGGTGTAAATCGTATCCCAATTGTTTGAACACCCAAAATATTTTTCACTATCCCAATCACGAAAATTAATTTATTGAAATTTTTCAATAGAACGTCGCTGTATTGTTCCAATCTTTTGACTACAAAAAAAAAATCCCTTTTTTTTACCAATAGCCTAGTATAAAAATTTACAAATCTGTACAAAGGTACCAATCGAGTGACACTGCCTTAAATATTTATGCAATTAAAAAAAAAATTTAAAATTATCGTTAAAATTTCGAGTATTTTAATTACATTCTGAGTATGCAGTTTTGTAGCCCATTGAATTCTAGTAGAATAAAGTACACGTTTCAAATGGCTAAAAATGTGGATTGATTTTGAATTGAGAATTTTTAAAAATTCGAGATTTGTACGAAAGTTTGTTGAATTTTTTTTAATATTGCACAAATNTAAATGTCGATTGATTTTGAATTGAGAATTTTTAAAAATTCGAGATTTGTACGAAAGTNTCAATAGAACGTCGCTGTATTGTTTTTTCCCTTTTTTTTACCAATAGCCTAGTATAAAAATTTACAAATCTGTACAAAGGTACCAATCGAGTGACACTGCCTTAAATATTTATGCAATTAAAAAAAAAAATTAAAGATTATCGTTAAAGTTTCGAGTATTTTAATTACATTCTGAGTATGCAGTTTTGTAGCCCATTGAATTCTAGTAGAATAAAGTACACGTTTCAAATGGCTATAAATGTGGATTGATTTTGAATTGAGAATTTTTAAAAATTCGAGATTTGTACGAAAGTTTGTTGAATTTTTTTTAATATTGCACAAATGAGTAGTCCACTTGCAAATAACGTTATGTGATTTTAAAATAGTGAGCCACAAATTAAAAAAACATCTATAACAACAAGTAACATCCAAATTGTATATTTCTCTATATTATCTATTTGGATAAACAAGAGGCTAATAACATTAAAAAACAATATCGCAGTGTGGTAGTTTTTGAAAATTGTATATATTAAAATTGAATATATCGAGTTTTGAAACAGTAACTTTTACATAGCTTACTTTTTTTAGCTTTTC